CATCATTTATTGAAGACTTTGAATCCTGCTGATCTGCCGTTTTGTGTATGAAATCTCTCAGCTGCTTTCTTCAGTAATGGTAGGTGATTCTCAGTGGCTCTAGAAAGATTCCACAGAATGGCCTAAAGACGACTATGAAATCTCTGAAAAAGTAACAAAAATCAACAGAAAAGAAAGACTGTCGTTACAATTACAAATTTTATTCATCGTGATAAAGCATTTACTTCTAGATTGCTGCATTTTTAAAGACACAACAAGGGCATGGTGATGACTGGTTGGATAAATCAAGAAAATCAACTCACGTATAAAAAAAGTCTTAAAAGCTGAAAATGCATTATGATATCTTCATGCGGGCTTGCAGATTATGCTTGCAAAACGAAAGTGAAACTACTAACTGTGTAGTATACAAAAAACAAAGCTAAATGATCTAAAGTTCCATTTGTGCCTCTGCTTAAAGATCATATTGATCATATATAAGCATTTGAAGTTTCTGTGGTGAATTATGCAGGTCTGCTGTACCTTAATTCTGGAGAAAAGCATGGATAATGTTGTATATTTGCAATGTTTATCGTAAAGTGCATTTAAAAGCACTGCAATCCTTGTCGATCGTTGCTTTCGTACAAACCTTTAGAAAATTTGTCTCCAGAAAAGGAAGAGTGTTCTGTATTCTGACCATGGGACAACTTTCATAGGCACAAATAATACTCTAATATCGTTAGAATGGAATGGAATTACAACTTTTTCTAACATCAAGCGAATAACAAAAAATTTTATTTTCTCTTCTGTCATGTAGTGGAGCGGCTGGTGAGAACGAATGATAAAGAATTATTGAGACGAATCTTTGATAAGGATACTCAATTATTGAGACGAATCTTTGGTAAAACTTTCAGTAACTAAGGAGAGTTGTACATTGTGCTTTACGATTGGGAAGCCGTTATTAAATCCAGACCTTTAGGTTATGTATCTAATTATAAATGATCTGATTCAATTGTCACCAACAATGTTTCTGAAAGGTGTTCTAGCAGAGAAGTTTTAGATTTCGATGCCATTCATAGGTGTCCTTTTATAGGACGATTTAGGTATTTGCAAAGATTACAAGAAGATTTGAGACAAAAAATTCAGGAATAAATATTCAATATTATTTGTCCACCATTGCTAGAGAAAGTGTAGTGATTTTCAAGTAGGTAATATAGCTGTTATATTAAGAGAAATAATTTATTAAATAAATTTTTAACTTTAAGCTAAACTTACTTTCTCTAACTTTTTCTCTACCACTGGTACCGGACAAAAATAAAGAATAAGAAGCTTAAGAAGCTGAAACTCTTATACTGTGAGGAAGAACAGGATCATTGATCTAAATTTACATGAAATCAATAATGGCATATACTTTAAAAGTAAATTAATTCGAGTTCAAATACTAATTCAAAGTTATTAAATCTACAATCTGAAAATCAACAGTAATAAGGCTTCGTTGGTTCCTTTGCATTAAAATGAAAACATGTATTTCAATAAAATTTTAAATTTGAATTTCATTACTCAAATTCTATAACTATGCTCTCTCTCATTAGAATCTACAGCATCAAGATCCCTAAATCGACCTTCCTCAAAACCAAAAGTTACCAAAACAAAATACATATTTCAAGTTAGAAACTTTAGGCTGGCCATTGGTTTTACTCTAAATACCATTATTTTTACGATATCCATTGATTAGCTCAGCATTATGTTAACATTCATTAATTTTACAAAAGCGTCTTTGAAAAGCTTTGCATAGACCTTTAATACTTCTTCTCTTCATCTTAGAGCAGCCAAAGAACCTCATGAAAATACCAGTCCATCATAATGCTTTTCGATGACCCATCATTGACGAGTGCGTCAGCTCACCAATCCTGTGTCTAAGCCTGGCGTTGTCTGCATTTCAGGAAAAAGACGTGAAGACGGTGTAAAAAATTTACTTACTATAGGATGATCTTCCTCGTTGAGAGTTCTGTCAAAGCACGTGCCTCGATCTTGTATTCTTGAAGCAGAGCAAATTTGATACAAAAAATTATCTGTTGTCTGTTCTACATTCCAAAAGCCTGTCAGTGTCAAATAATATAATTTGTATCGTGCTCTGGTTCTTAATTTTCCTTATACTGATTTTCTGCCAATTGCTCTATTTACTTAATGTATCAAATGTGGAAACATTCAACCATCTAGTTACTTTAGCTTGAGACTGCTGTTATTCCAATTTTCCAACTGCTCTTATATTTAAAGTGTAATTTAAATGGTGGTGAGGGAAACATTAGTTCATTATCATTATATTCATTATTATTATTAGTTCATTATTACAAAGTTTAACCTTTCGTTCACAATTCTGTGGCGGGTAAATATTTATATTGTAAAGAAACATTTAGTTTTAAACTAATAAATTTTTGTTCAGTTATTTATCTTTTCTATCTTCCCTCATTTCCGTTTCCTCCCAAAATGATATTTCAGTTTCTCTTGTTACACAAATTAGTGTAGAAAGATACTATTTAAGTTGCTGTCTGAATTACTTCAGACAGAGCGAGCGTGTTCTGCCGTTTGGCCACATTGTTTCCCTGATTTAAGCTTTCTGTAAACGCTTTTCGCACATTTTTTAGATTTTGCTTTGGTATTAAAAAAAACTCTTTTGAATTTGTTTAACTGCTGTATTTTTTAAAGTATAAATTATCGTCTGTTAATTAATAGTTTTGTTTGCATGCAAAATTTCGCTTTTAAAGAAGGAGTAGATGGAAGGCTATGTTTGTGTTCTTTCCGAAGAAACTTATTCGTATCTAGTGATTAAAAAACGTTGTTAAAGCCATGGTTTTTCAGTATCTAAAGTTACGATAATTAATGTTGTCAACAAAAAATGATAAAAAAACATCAAATTTTAGCTTCAAGTGAAAACATTTTTCTAATACGTATCCAAGGGATAAACGGAATGTTTTGAATATTGCAAATTTAATGTTAAAAGAAAAGCGCCTATTCAAATGAAAATTGCAACATCATTAAAATGATGAGTGTCAAATGTAAACAAAGTGATTAATGTTAATTTGAATCTTTAAAAGACGAAAAAACATAATATGCATCTTTTTTCTCTACGATATATCGCAGTACACAAAATGCTCTTCAGAATTCTTTATGAGAAGCATTTATCCGGACAAAACTGATAAAATGCTGTCACAGTAGACGAATCTTGGGTGTACTTAAATGACTGCAATTTATGATTTCTGCTGGTTTTCCATATAATGCCAAGTTAAAAATAATAAAAAATAGATGAAGAAAAATGCTAAGGTCAACTCTACATATTATCAAAAACCCAATTTTCAAATATGAAATACATTCTCTTTTGCACACAGTGTGATCAATCAGTAGAACATCATCAAGACAAAGTAAGCAGTGACACGTCAAAATCTACTGTTAATTTCCTGGAAAAAGGGTAAAAGAAATGGGTATCAAGGTCATATCCTTCACTCATATCCGTACTAATTCTCCTGATCTATTACCAATGTATTTTTGCGCTTTTGACTTTTAAAAAGCGGGTTGTCCAAACTTTGACTTACAACATTCTTAGACTTTGGAAAGCTCTTTGACAGGAATTTGATAAAATAGTTCTTCCGATACTTCAAAAGGCTTTATTGTTTTGGAAATTATGGTGTTATAAAGATAGTGAAGAAAGGTTTATCAAACAGAACATTTAAAACATAAAAAGTTAGGTAAAATATTTCTGTTCTGTAATTACGATGACAATCGTCTAAAAAATGTGGGAACGGCCTCTATATTTTACTGCCGTACATATTAATTCCCGGTTTGTGTGCATCGGTGGTAGGGCTAAGATCCAACTCGCGTTAATGATCGCTGTGCAGCTTCGACTGATTATTCAACTTAGTTTTAATTATACATTTTTGTTTTGAATTTCAGCCAAACGTATTGGCTAAGTTTGTATGCACCAGGAGTGCCGTCTGTAAATTCCTTCTTGAGTTGAATAAAAGGGTCTTTTCACCCTTCTCAGGTTTTTGTCATTGATACAGATTGAACTTAAAGAATAGTGGTTTCACAATTCAAGTAAAGATCTAACCAGCAAAATGAAGTTAATTTAGCAATATTTTACAATATATCTCATTTACCTATGTAATATTTTAATTTCCATTTTTAGTAAACGTTTGAGGTACCTTTCCTTGATTTCGACAATATTTTGATAGACTATGAAAACTGAGAACTACATTCAGCTTAACCGAGATTTCTTTTCGAAAGATTTAAGTTCTGGAACATTGGAAAATTACTATCAGAAATCATCAGAATAAGTCAGACTCTCTACGTGAAATACAAAAAAAAGTATCAAATGTGTTGAATGGCAGCAGTGATGTCACAGTATTTAGGAACAATCATTATCTACAACAATACATAATCAATTATACATAACTTAGAATAAAAAATAATTGTTAAATCATCCGCTAAAAGTCAATTGCTATATCTTAAAAATAAATTAAGTCTACAACCATGAATCTTCCCCGGTCTCCATTGATTGCCGAGGAAACGCAAGATAAATATTTTTTCGAAAGTTTTCTTTGTGTTTAAGTTTTACTTTTATTTGCAGTGCTGATTTAATTATATAACCAAACAAACTTATTTTCCTAATCCAATTGCTTAAAAATACGAGTAATACGGTTGCTAATATTATTTTTCTGTTAATTGTAATTCATGTTACTTATCTTTCTTGTGATTTTTTAAATGACTAACTTTTTAACTAATTTTTTAACTCGACTGGAATCTGTATTATCCAGATTAATCGGGAGTTTACTGCAATTAGATTTTTACTCATAATAAATTCTTTGAATTTAGTTGTGTACTGATTGAGAAAATATTGATTTTGTTTACGTTAATTTAATTTTGACACAATTGTACTTTATAAATTTTATTTTAGTAAATCTTCCGAAATATAATAATTTTGTTATTTTGTGATTGAATTAATTTTAATGACTTTATATCTGATTTAGGCAGGACATACGCCTGATTACTATTTAACACATCCGGGAGTTTTGACCATTCGAGATCTTCTAGAAGGCTATCGGATTAAGGATCCTCAAAACAGAAGGCCTTCCCAAGTCAACATATGGCAACGTCCTCCAACGGATGATGCTGATAAACGTGAGTGAGTACTTCTGGCCGCGATAGATGTGTCACAGACAATTCAAAACATTGACTCTGAAGCACCTTGCTTCTATGAAATGCATTCTTCCAGCATAATTTCAGCAAGAGACTTACGAAGTATAAGTTTTTCAATAAGAATAAAATGAAGGATAAGGGAGAAAAATCGTTTTGAAATTTGTGTGTCTGCTTTAGACTTTTGTAGTATTTATAAATTAAGGAATTGATAGCTTTTTCGGAAATTGTAAGCATTTTTAGTTTAAATTGTCATTCCTTAATTAAAGATTATCTTCAGGTTACAAATAAAATAGAAAAGACAATCGAAATGCAAAACTTTTTCAATAGATCTTTAAAACCATAATTTTCTTTCTGAAGTCAGAGATAAATTTTCTGCTAAAAGTAAATTCAAAATTTTGTGAAAGCTTTTTCACACGCTGAATACCTAACACACTATATTATTGAATTAGGGGTAGCTACTTAGTTACGTTTTGCCATATTAATATTCACTACACACCGTACAATCTTGCGAAATATTCCAAAAGCTGTGAGTCTTCTAAAACTTTCTACATTGCTTGATAATATCCAATAGGTTTTCAATAAGATTTAAATTTAGACCTTTTAACGTGGCTACTTCATTATTTCAAATGCAATAGTAATACTCCTCAGTACATGTAACTTCCAACCTTGATTTGTGAGATGAACAGTCACCTTGCTGAGAGATGCAATTTCTATTCAAATAGATGAGGGGCAAAAATGGTATAAGTGATCAAGCATGAGTTCTTCGTACGAGGAATGGATCTCTAATATACTTCAGCAGCGGTATTCAAACTTTTATGGCAGTGCTACCACATAAAATACAAATTACGCCAAGAAAAAAAAAACATTTCGCGACTCCAATCATAACGTCGGCCCTTAGTTATATACCATCAATTAGAGTTAGTATCCACTTTGAATTAGTATCCACTTTGAAACCCCACTATAAATTTTCGCAACTCCAAATGGGCTCGTGATCCATAGCTTGAATACCACTATACTATATTATACAAAATATCTTGCAAATAATAACTGAAGACACTTCAAGGTTATCATTAAACCACGATACGCATTTGTTGCTCCAATGAGCTTACAGGATCCCGAACTTCATAAGATTAATCCCATTTTCTCAATCTTCCAATAGGAAGATGAATTTTAAATCAGAATACATCACTCTACGCTACTTATTTTCAATTTCAGATTATTTAATTGTGATAGATGGTCCAGATGAGGTTTTGAAATCAGTGACTCCCGTAAACTCTGATCATAAACTGAATGAACATAGCATGGTATGGCCACTGACTCGTTTGGCTAATATTTCTTCAATAAATGCGTCAATCAGGCACATGTTATTTACCTTCTGCCAAAAGGCACTTATAAATAGTTTCCAATTTGATCCTTTAAGGCAAATTCTTGACAGAAGCAAAGGTAGCATCTGTATAACCATAGTTTGAACAGATGTGCTCTCATAGGGAAGTAACGCTGAAAATATTTCATATCCTTCCTAAGTTAGTGAGTGTTTCTCAACATCGGTCCCTGTTGTCTCCTATCCCTAATTCAACAGCACTTTTGGTGTATAAACAATCAGTGTATACGGTGGGCATGATTAACATTATAATTAAAATATTGAATAACACTTTTTCAACCTTAATTATTTTTTGTTGTTCTTAACATTAAATTCAATTTATGGAAATATGTTAACATTATGGTTTAAAATTAATACATGTCAAATGAAGGCCGCTGTTAGCCTCGATTTGGCGTTTTTATTCAGGAACTTTCCAATAACTCTTGTTAAGATTTCATGTCTTAATTCTTGAGTAGCTCCTCGAATATAGGCTTAAGATGTTGTATGATTCGTGGCTTGCTAGCATATTTTTGGAGCCTCAGAGAGAAAAATATGTGGCTCTTGCGATGGCCAATTAAAATTTAAAACTCAATAAATGATTCGGTTGTAAAAACGTTTCCTCAAAAAATCCATGATGCATCATTGAAAATATTGAATCAATTATGACAAACTGCTCAAGCAATGAGCGCATTTCCAACATTGAAGAATGCGTAATATGTTAGTTGCATAGAAGTAGAGTGTCGATTTCTAAAGCAAAATTGATTCAATTCTTGTTTTTCTTGGTCGTGAAACTTTCCCTCATAAAATTCCCAATTGTTGGCGATACAGTGCTGAATTGAAAATGAAAAACAAATAGAACTCAAAAGTTATTTATTTAAATCATAAAATTAATCATTTGCAGCCTATACTTATATTGTACTTAAATTTTTTTCACTTTGTTCACTTAAATGTTAGTTCAATCAAATTCTTTATTGTAATTGTTTTAAATAACTTAACTATTTAAGAATAAAAAGCATAAGTCAAATAGTATATAATAGCGAAAGTATTTTTTTTCTTTTTCTGATGCAAGATTTAAATAATATTCAATAATATTAACTATTGAAGTTTTGTCTTCCGTATTCTTCATGCTGCTATATATATATATATTCTACATAAATCATATGTGTTTCTGTCACCAATCCGAACATCAGCTAAGAAATAACTAAAGCGAAAAATTTTAATTCAAAAGTTTGTAAAATAAATATTATATTTTTACGATTATTTATCATGTAAAATAACAGTGGATGAATTCATTTCATTGGAATAATCTGTACAGTCATCATATTTCCTGTAATTTATTAAACTAATAATAAATGCTACATAAAATATTTTAAAGTTTAATTTATAAAATTTAGCTAGAAAATTGAAATCTAAAATATTAGAGTGACTATTTAACGACATATACCGTTAAAAAAATTTTTAAATATTACGTCCCTTTTTAATTCCCTATCTATGCCATTCGAGGAAGAGTTAATAAAATAAAAGGATATTAACTTTCATAAACTATCCCTAAAAATTGTATTAAGCTTTTAATTATTGTTTTCTTCTCCTTGTCGAAATGGTACTAAATATATAACATATATCAGTATTTAGTTAGCTAAAACTTAAGTTATTTAAAATTGAGAAGGATTTTTTATAGCTGTAAAGAAATTCTTATTCTTAAATCATAAGAACTTCTTATTCAGAAACATACCATGAATTCTGATCGCATTCGAAACACATTTCTACGTTTCCCAAGTGAAAATCGTTTCTAATAATTGTGGAAAATGAAATGCTGTTTTTAGGAGTACGGAGATTACTTAAATGCTCTAAATGCTGCTTGCTATCTAAAAATAATTTAAGTATTGCTTATGAAGATTTGCAGTTTCATAGTGCAATAACTGGAGTTTAGTTTACTGTTGAACATTTCTGTGTTCTTTAAAGGAATCTTGAAAATAACAAACTGTTAGAAATCTTAAAACTCAAAATGTAATTAATATATTTGAAAATAAATCCCTTATAATGCAGCGGGTTTGTACTGGAATGTTCGCTAATGAAATTCATCACTGAAATTTAACAACATCTTATAATGAGGATTGCTTATATTTTTGCTGATGTAGATAGAATATCAGGTGATTAGATTTTGCATTAAATAATAAATGATAAAAACATTAGCTTACATAAAAGAGAGAATTACAAAATTGTTTTAAATTTTGTTTGCAGTAATGATTCAAAACTAATTGAACGCATATTGTTACTTATTGCAAACAATTAATGTTTTTGCAAATTCAAACGCAAAGCGATTTGAACGGACAGAAAAGAGCTCTGAGAACTCTAAAATGTATAGACTTCTATAGAAGCTCGATAAAAGCTTTAAAAATTTCTCAGTTAAATAAAATATTTTTTTTGCCTTCTTAGTATCTCACTTCAGGTCAAGTAGTGAGATATGTATTCATCAAATTTAACTAGATTTTTTAACTATAAACTATTTTATCTAGTAACTATTTTAACTAGTTTTAACTTTTTTCTACTCTTGTTTATTATGCATTCTTAGCTTACATATTTTCATTATTACATATATCATTAGAAGTAAACTAATACACATGTATACTATTGTCAAATCATATAAACACAAACGCATACAAACACATTATATTCATAATATATTAATTATAAAACTGCACTTACATGATGCTATTCAAACGAGATCCAATTTATTATTTTGATTGGATAATGTTAGATCCAGTGATGAAATAAATTTAGCCATACGGTGATCCAAATAATGTTAATTTTTCATATCGAAAATTAGTTTTTGTTATGCTTAATTTTGTCTGGGTATCTTAATCTGTTAGTTTACTATTGTTTCGTTGCTATGTTAATGTATGGCTATTTATAGATGATAGTTATTTTAGACTTTGTTCTTTATGTATTGCGAAATTAATTTCACATTATCACAGAACATTTTATCAATTTCATTGCCCTTCTGTACTCGTGCATACATATGTATATGTATATCATTCACTAGAATTCACATTCTTTAGTAGATATATGTACGTACATACATAGAAGTATTATGTATGTACATGCATAGCATATCTCTATATATATATGTTATGTATGTGTGTATATATACTGAATTCAGTTGATGTGATTACTGCTGTTCCCGTGATGAAACACGTCTTCGTGCTTCTGGCGTTTTCAGCATTTAAGACCGTAACAGCGAACATAGACTTTTATTTATCTATGTGTGCTACATGTCCATTTTTCACTGGAAGAAATAATACGCTATTAAAGAACGCTGTTAATACGCTGTTAAAGAACAACAATAACTTTCCAAGCCGTTTAAATGTGTTCTTTTACAAAGAAATGTCTTCCTTTATATTAAGAATGTGTATATTCTTGTTCACAGGAAAGACCTTTCATCCCAATCTGTGCACTCAAAATAAGCTATTTGAACAAAGAAAGAACAAAATGTATCTTCTTTTGTGACTTGTTTTAATTTGAAAGTGGACTCTTGTTCTTCTAAATACGAAATACAGAGATCTATCTATCTTTTTTTTTTTAATTTTGTGTACTTTCAGAATTTTCTGAAATTAGCTGTTAA